AGTTAGTATCCAAGAAAAGTTAGTTATCCAAGTTTGCCAGACTAGCCTTCATGACATCCTTTTCATCAAACTTCCATTCTTCGGCTCCAAACATTCTCTCCTTTCACTTCCAACTAAAAATAATAAAACACAGTAAGTTTCCCTCACTCTGCCAACCAAAATTAGAACAGTATTTTCAATAAGTATTAGTGTCCTTGTTCTGAACTCACAAAGAACACTTCAGATAACAGTTAGTGTTTTTCCTGGCACAGAGAGGCAGAGATGAAGGGGTAATTCGACTAATATTTGGCTTCTCACACAGAGAATCGCAGGAACACTGCAAAGAGAAAACATAGTTAAAAACTACAGAAGCAACATTTCTATATATCAGGTAAAATCCAAAGAAACAAAACAAAAAATGTCTTCCCAAACTACATTTCCATAAATGATGTTAGTTTAGAAATAAAGTACAGTACTGCATGGAGTGGGGTGGGGTAATCCTGCCATATCTACTGAGTAAATCCTAAGAACTGGAGCTAACAAGCATTAGCATGGTCTATAGCAGCTAGCGTTTTTAATCTGAATCTAGACATCTCATTTGTGTAGCCTTTAGTTAACACTTTTGCCTCAGTTGACTCTCTAGTAAAATGGCAATAACGGGATTCCTGGGAGGAGACACATTAAGACAACCTATGAGCCCTAAAATGTAATCTGCCACTAATCTAAAGGCTTTATAGTTTGCTTGCATTTTGGGAGTTCTGCACCTGTAGAAAAAGGTATTTTTCAGTTGTGTTTGGGGATCAGTTTTTGAACATAACCAGATGCTTTCGTTTGATCTCACCGATCACACATGCTGGAACCGAGCCAAAATGGAGTGACCCTACCCACACCAAATAAATAGTAGCTCCTGAAAGAGATTCAAAAAAGTGTGAGTAGGCATCATCTGGGGCAGGCTAGTTCACAATGGCACATATGCCATGTGGTCACTGGGAAAAGGAGAGAACCAGCCTGGCCCAACTTAAATTGCAGGACAAATACCGGTACTTATCTGATTAAATCGTGAGTTCTCTTCCATTTTTAACAGATCCTAAGGAGGCAGTAGAAGCCTTAAAACACTACTTAATAGATGTAAAGGACTAAGTGCATGAAACTTAGTCTAAATATGAGAGAGGTACTAATAGATAAGGTCTGAAAATGGGGAGTTGTTCTCAATGAGACTGTATTTCCTCTGAAGTATTGTGTTAACAACCTGGGGAAGCTCCTTGACCTAGTAGTATTGCAGAGGCACAGACACAGACTCAGTTAAGTGTCGTCTCCCCTGCCACAGCATCAACCGGGACACGAATTGCATCAGTTTTAGCCAGGTCAGATCTGGATGCATCTTTAATATGGAAGTGCCATCAAAAAGTGTTGAGTTTCAGTGTCTCTAATAAGTTGTTGTTTCAGGCAGATAAACAGCGCTTATCTATAATTTTTCTGTGCTTATTTAAAGGTGCGTGTTCTTCCTGACAAATCTTCAAACAATGTGGGACCAATCCTTGCTAGAGCACTCCTTACAGGAGATTGTTTGCAGCAAGTAGCAAAAACTGTATTGCATGTCTCCTAATCTGGGTGATACGATAGGGAGGACTGGGCAGGCCTATAGTTGTCTACTGATTTTCTGATAGCTTTCTTGTCCTCCTTTTCTTCAGATTTTCCTCTTATTTCTGGGCTGTGGCAACAGAAGATGAAGAGAAGTAATGGAACTGCTCTATTCCACTTTGGCAGATCTCACTTGAACAAGTATGTATAGTTCCAGATATCCCAGTTTAAGGAGGTTATTGCAAATTATAATGTGTCCATGAGGATCAACTAAGATGATCAAGGATCATCTTTATCAAAATCATCATAATCAAGCTCTATGAAGAATGGGTGAGGGAATTCTGTATGTTCAGCCCACAGAATTGAAGAGTGGCCGGCAAAATAAGAACCATCTTCAAATATCTGAAGAGCTATCATTAGAAGATGGAGCAGGTTTGTTCTCTGCTGCTCATCAGAACAGGACTCAAATCGATGGATTCAAATTACAGTAGTACCTTGGTTTACAAACACGTAATTTAATGTAAAAATTGGTTAATTAATTGGTTATCCTAATTTTTGGTTTACGAACGGAAATCCATAGAAAAGAATGCCTCGATTTACTTTCGTTTTCCACAATATGAAGGAAGTTTCCTCAGGATGCATTGTGCCTGGAGGTTTATAGCGCCGCCCCCATTCCTATGGCAATCTGTGTTTCAGTTTATGATTTTTTTGCATTACATAACGTTCCGGAGAATGCATTAAATTAGTAAAACGAGGTACTACTTGTACATGAGGGAAGATTCCAATTAAACATCAAGAAGAAATTTCTGAAAACATCTGTCCAACAGCAGAACAGACTACTGAAGAAAGGTGGTGGATTGTCTTTCATGGGAGGTTTTGAAACAAGAGGTTGGAGAATCATCACTAAATGACTGTACTGACGAAAGGCTGGCCCAGATAACTCTTGGGATCCTTTTCAAATCTATAAATCTCTGCTCCTTTGCCATCACTGGGGGCAACGTGGTGAACGGATAACAGTCCAGAATCATCCCCCAGAGATAGTGGACAGAAGCTAACTCTGTCTGCTTGCCCTTTCCCTCTTCTGGGACTCCTTCTTGTTCATCCATCCGTCTTGTTTTGGGGCGGCTGGACAAATGAAGTGTTGCAGCCCAGAAAGGCTCGCCAGGGAGCCACCGGAAGCTGCTTGGCTGGCTGTCTTGGAAGTGGCGCAGCAGGGAAGAGAGTACAGTAGAGATCCCTTTTGCCTCAGAAGTTACCACCAGCGATAGAAGGAAGAGTCGCACAAGCACAGAATAAGACAGCGACTCCTTGTACAAAGAACCACCTCTGCCTGCCCGCCTGGGCCCAACTTTCCCTCACTGTACTAACTACTACACGAAAGATGCTCTTTTATTTTCACCAAAACCTTGTCTCCCTCAAAACAAACAAAGCCCCAAACTTGCGAAGGTCGCCGCGGCCCAAGCGCGCCTGCTTTCTCTCTTAGCAGAAAGGCTACTCAGCCGCCGCCCCCCGTCCGACTGAGGCGAAGACGGCCGCCCTAGCGGGGGGAGCGATGAGAGGCGAGTCGGCGGAGCAAAACCGTTTCCGTAGAGCGGCGTCAAAGCGCGGCCCAGAGCGAAGCCTGGCTCACCTGAGCCCAGGGGACGCCTTCGGGGTTGTGGCCGCTCGCCTCCTTCCTCTCGCCACCGAGGAGCAACCAGAGAGGCGAGGGCTGCCCGCGGCGTACACGTGGGGAAGGGTTGCTCGGCTGGCTTGGTCAGGGCCCCATAGCGCCTCTGCACCCGCAGCCCCCCCTCCCACTCCGCCCCAACCCAGCCCAGACAGCTTGCTGCTCCTCGGAGCCCCAGCTCGCTTCTCCCGCGGTGGGCGCTGGCGGAGCAGCAGCTGTTCCTCCCTAACGGCGCGGTGTCAGCGCCAGGGCCAAGCGAGCGAGCAGCGGCCGCGGCCAATAGCCCGCCGGGCCCCACCCGGCTTCCCGCCCTCTCTGCTGGTGGGAAGGCGGAGCTGTCGAG